GAATATCAGAGTTTGTTACGGCCGTTGACCAATCATAGCCCGCCACGTGTCCTTTCATTTACGTGCTGGGGATTTCCGGGTGTTCTCTGGTATTCTACCAGTTTTGTGCGTCCGTGCTTCCTCGATCGTCTTTCCTCGACCATATCCTCGGATGGCTTGTATCTGTCGACCACTTATGATTCCCTTAACTGTCGCTATCTACTCGATGCTCTACGTGGTCGGTGTCCGGTCCTGCTCGACCACCGGTCCAGTATATGATATCCCATATCAGTATTCCTCTTGAAAATCAAAAAGATCTTTGAACAAATATTGGTCAATAAAATTTAAAATTTGTAATTCACTTCTAGAGAAATAGTTGATAACTTTGAATGATAAAGTAAACAACAACAAATCTAGAAAATTGTGTGATAATATAAATTTATATATTGTATATATAAATATGAAATATATAAAGGAAATTTATTGTATATTCCAAATTTAGGTTCCAAACTTAAAAGTCAAATAAGTAATTATTTATAACTTATGGGTCAATATTAACGTGGACGAAAATGGAGTAGTCAATTATTTATGGTTTAATAAATTACTCAACTGCTTAATTTTTTTAATTTGGATAGTTTATACAAAAATAATTTTATTTAATTAATACAATAATATAAGTTTTATAATTATACTTCTTATATATAGATTTTAAATATATGTTAACTTTATACTAAAGTATTTATTTATGGAATCACATTGTAGCCCAATTGAATTTCTGAATAAAATTTTTAAAATGACACTTATTTTGAAATGAATATATGTTATATATTATTTGGGAATAAATAAGGGTAATTGATACATTGAGTCATTATGATGTTTAGCCAAATTAAGTGATTAAATTATTGTACAAAAAATATTAGCTAAGGAACTTAATTTAGATTGTGGAATGGTTAAATGTAGACACCTGGTAATGTTATTATTTGGCGACGTGGCAAATAATTATATTAAACTTAATGACCTAATTAACAAATAATTTGTGTCAAAAGAATTTATGGGTGTAGTCCCAAAAGGCCGTGATAAATGCGAGAGTCTTTTGTTATTTTTTATTTAGTTATAAAAAGAATGAATCGTTTCCCACGACCCTTCACCAGTTTATCAGGTTTTTTTTATCTTCGTACATCAGAAGAGAAGTGTTATCGTGTTCACGGCTTTTTGGAAGACCTCCATATTCCAAATCCAAAATTCCAATCAATTTCTGTGCAATCAATCGATATGAATCTATCAGGTACGCTTCCGCTATTCGATTATGATTCTCGCCTATACGATAAGAACGTTGTTGAGAGTAGATGACAATATGGCATATGAATTAAAAACGAGAAAGTAAACAACACAAGATTTACGTGGTTCGGCAATATGCCTACGTCCACGGCGGCTGAGGGATCTTTATTATTCTCAATAGTCACAAATACATCAATACACCATATATTTATACTATAACCCTACAATGTATTAATTTACTTAAATACCCTGTACCATACCACGGGGGCTCTGCCCCCCACTCCCGTCCATACCGCGGGGGCTCGGACCCCGCACCCCCGACCCAACTAATCGACCCAGCCCAACAGGGGCTGCTCGCTACACTCCGCTCACTTCGCTCGGTCGCTCCGCTACGTTCGCTCTGTTACGCTCGCAGGCATCAGCCTGCCCTCTTCCTTTGTCAATATATGAGCCATAACAACAAACGTCCTTGGGATTAAGCGATTTATTTCGCATAAGGTTAAATCCAAATTCTATCAATATAATATAATTAATTATCAGTTACGTGCACCGTATGGGTTGTGGACTAATTTTAAATAGACATGATTTATGTAATTTTAAATAATTTAAATTTTATATAATATTTTTAATAAATTAAATAGATAAAATTGTATTACATATTCATTTCATATTTTAATTTATAAATATTATTCAATGAGAAATTCTAATTTATAAATATTAATTAATATCTTTTACCCGTGCAGCGCACGAGATTTGTACTAGTTGAAAAAATGAGTATTGTAATAAAAAGAAAAAAACAAAACAACTTACTTAAAAAACAACATAATTACAAATATTACATTTCTCAATTTAACTTTCCATTTGAAAAAAATATATATAACGGATTGACCCGAAGCTAAAGATAATGTCGGACTAGCCTAACGTAGTCAATTATAGGGATGTTCAGATACAAAAATTTTAGTTTTGTTTGGTTAATTTTGAAAAAAAATGGTATGATTAATCATTAGTGGATATATTAAAATAATTTATAAAATAAAACAATTAAAGTTATGATTAATTATGATTAATTAAAATTATGTGAGTGGACGAATAATAAATTAAAGTTTTTTTGATATTATTTAATTATATTGATAGTTTTTAAAATAGTGAAATATATATATGTATATATATATATATATATATATATAAAGAATTACCATTTTTTAAAATTGGCAAGTCAAACTGTGGTCAAATATGGTTGAGCATTAATTGCATGCTATTAATAGCAAGTTTTTATTTTATTTTTTTATTTACAAATGTGCATCATTAATTGTTGCATTTAAATGTGGAGTTTGTTAAGTGAAGTTTGTTACTTATTTTTGCTCAAGATTAGGTTGTTCTTTTTTCATTTTCACAATTTTTTTTTTTTTAAAAAAAAAGACTTTCTTTAACATATAATTGTGTACCACATTGCAAATTTTATTTTATTAAAAAAAATTACGCCTAACTTAATAATATAAACTTAAGTTAGTATTTACAAAAAATCAGAAACTCTTTTAACATCAACTCGGCTACTACAATTGTTTTAATTAGATGTTTTTATTTTTAAATAAAATAAATTACAGTTCATTTAATAATCAAAATATCCAATGTTTTTCTTCTATTCTTTTTATTTTTTATATATAAAAATAACACAAAACTAATCTAATTATAAAATAGTCAATATTTTATTTGCGCAAGAACGGGTTGTAACATTTCTATTTTCACAAGTTAAAGAATTTTTAACAGAAATAAGATTACCAAATTGCATAATTTTTTATAAAAAGAAATTATGACTGGTTTAATAATAAAAAATAACTTAGTATTTGCAAACAATTTGAGCCTTTTGAACATCAAATCGGCTAATACCATTAAATTAATGATCTTTATTTTTTTAAAAATACCAATTCCTAAAGTTGCGGTTGATATAATTTTCAAAAAGAATTTTTTTTTTTTATAACAGAAAATCATGAATCACATTGCAGCCTAGATTGATGGATTTGGTTTCATTAAGTTCTAGAAACTTCGACATTGAATATAATTTGAAATTCAAAATCCTTTCTCATTTTTGATTTAAAAAATTCGATTGTTTTTTTTAATCCAAACAATCAGATTGCTGAAAAAATTACCTTCTTCAATTGAAAATTTGAAATTCAAAATCTCTTCTCATTTTAGTTGTCATAAAATTGGGCTTAATTCAAAATCTCTTTCTAATATAAAGGATTTTGTTCAAATTTAAAAAAAAAAAATCTAATCACATGCTTCTATCCTTGAACGAATAACCTTAAATGAAGGATTTTGTGCCACTTTAAAATTAACAAACCTCTTAGAAATTACAAAATCATAATGAATTTCAAAATTTTTGGTTTCATTTTGTACGAAATTCAAAATGGTTTAAGAATTTCAAATCAATTGAAATTCATCTCTTTAATTTTTTTCCATAAGTTTAAAAAATTCACAATAATTAAGTCAAATTACAAATGTATTGTTTCAAAAATCAAGAGGATAGTTCTGAAACTAGACATTTTTTTTTTTTTTTCAAAATTGTCTTAGTCTTCATTCACTATAAAATAAAGCTAATATGTTATGAGTTTTTAATTGTTTAAACATACAAATTTTATATTCTCTTGAACAGGCTAATTTTATATCGTTTATAATAAAATGATATACCATAAATTATATGACATGTTAACCGTACATCGTTAATTTATAATTATTATTCAATATCGTTTACTCTTATCTTTATTTTTTCTTGCTCTTTTAAGAGAGGATTAATAGTGGTTCCCCACTTCTTGCATTGAGTGACTCGAACTTGATACTTATTTAAAATAAATATTTAATATTGTTTACTCGTGCATCGCACGAGATACACACTAGTTAAGTTAAAGCTAGGTTAGAAAAGGTGATCATGAGTTAAAAATGTGTCTAAAGGAAAAGGAGTACACGCTTTTATATTTACACGAAACGACACCGTGTAGGGAAATAACAGTACAAAATTTTACTGTAGTTCAATACAAGAAACAAAAGAGAACAAAAAAGAAAGAAAAAGGCATCTCTCTCTTTCTCTCTCTTCGTGCCCGAGACTCCCACCGGAAATGGGTAAGATATCAAACGCCGCAGCCACGCCGGAGACGACGAGAAAGAAGAAAGGCCGCCCGTCCAAGAACCGTCCCCCTCCATCCACTCCTCTCAAACCCCCCGCTTCCAACCCCACCAGCCGCCGATCCACCCGGCGGAACCCTAATCATCCCAATTCGCCGCCGCCGCAGCCTGAATTCGACGGCGGAGACGACGACGACGAGAGAAAGGAAAAGAAGGTCAAGCTCGTCGTTCGACTGCCTCAGTCGGATGAGGGCGTTAGGGCCGAAGGGAAGAGGCAGCAGCATTGCCGGGAATTGGATTCAGGTTCCGGATCGGGTTCGGGTTCGGAGTCGGAGATGGGGTTGGAGGATCGAGAGGTGTGCGCGAAGAAGCGCAAGGTTGACGGCGCTGACAATGGATCTGACGACAGGGGTTCGGATCAGGTACGGGCCTCCTTCGGTGTTTCTTCTGAAATTTGGGGGAAAATGTTTGAATTTGCAGTACAGTTGAATAATCAAGATTCCGTTTTTTCGTTCCCTTGTTTTTCCTTTTATGGCTCGAGCTCCTTGAAATTTTGGGGGTGAGAGTAAATTTTTTCCAGTTGGGAATTATGGCGGTGGCGAAATATTTGGGGGTTTAATTAGGAGATTTTGAAAGTGGGTTTTGGGATTTCGCGCGAAAAAGGAAGCGAATTTATTGGCGTTGTCCCTTTTATCTTGTTTACTTTTTAGCTGCTCTGGTTTCTGAAGAGATCTGTAGTATTGGGTGCTAAATTTATTGACTTAGTCAACTGTGTTACAGAAATATACCACAGATTCTATTCTATTTTATTTTTGAGTTTTACGAATTCTTGGTTTTGAATGAATTTATTTTGCACTTTGGTTATAATTGTATGTTCGTGCATATATTATTATTATTATTATTATTATTTTTATTTTTTTGCATTACTGTGGCTAATTTATTTTGTACCTACTTTATTTGGACAGTAATTATGTAGACAGTCCTCTCTTCAAGTGTATATTTCTCATCTGGTTGCGATGAATTGTGTATTAAAAAAAGTTCAGATTTTCCTTTACTGTGCATGTATGTTGATTCGTAGTAGGGGTAATTTTTGCATTTATGCTTGTAGTTGCTGTTGTTTCTTTTACCGTTTTTACGTAATTTGTTCAGTTTGAATGACCGTTTAATGTTTTCGTACTTATGTTTATATTGCATTTTCCAGGAAAAAGAGGTCGTGAAAGAGATAGACAATTATGTACAAGGTCTATCCACAACCCTTACTGGTGTTTAGCATGAAAGATAAAAGAAAAGCGCCTTCTCTTTGGGAAAGATATTTGAAAATTTTGGTTAGTGTTTTGATCCGAATGGTTGTCTGATTTTGTTTTTATGTGGACAGGGTCACCCTTGGAATCTGGTCCCGGAACTCCTTTGCCAGAAAAAAAGTTGTTGATATTCATTCTTGACAGGCTCCAGAAGTATGTGTTTCTTGTATACTTCTTTTAGATTTAGATTTCTTTCATGTCTTTGCATGGTGCTCTTGTATAATGGTTCCCATCGTCAGTCTGTAACTTTTAGTTTTTATATTTGGTGTGTGTTGATTCAGAAAGGACACTTACGGTGTTTTCTCTGAGCCTGTGGATCCAAATGAGGTGATGCCATTTTCATAGAATGATAAAAAATGCTATAATTTATTCCCTTGCTGACTTGGGATTATGCTTGCAGCTACCTGATTATTTTGATATAATAGAGCAACCTATGGATTTTGGTACGGTGAGAAAGAAACTCGACAGTGGAGCTTACAAGAACTTGGAAGAGTTGGAGGTTAATTTTGAACAATATGACATAAATATTTTTTTGTGAACCTGTAATTATTTACTTGGTTGTCTTCATTTGGTATGATTTATGGTGGTTGAAATGGTTTAATTCTGTTTTTTTTTGGCAGTTTGATTTTTAAGGAACTTGAATATTTACCTCTGCTCACTTTCCATGTAATATTGTACTTTACAAAGATCCTTGATTCCATATTTTCTTGAACTCCTCCTTCCTGAAAATGGATTAAAGTGATTGTTTGGTTTCTCTGTGGCATCTCTTGGACTTGAATTTATTTTTATTGTGTACAATATTTGAGCCATGATCTCTTTTGGCTTTTAGGGCTCTCCGTGAATCCTCGAAGAAGTGTGTTAAAGTACTTTGTTAGGGTTTTGAATAAACAAAATGATTACAAAATTGGCGAATATGCTGGAAAGTAGGTCTCGACACATTGAGCATCTGATCTTGCCTCTTCTGCTCTTGTCTTGCAACATATGCGCCACTAGATATTGACTGGCCAATGAAGTGAACACGTTGCCACACATTCATATCATGTACTGCAGTAGAAAGGATAATGAATAAAATGAAGGTTAAAGGGTGTGCAAGACGTTGTTTATACTCGCATTTTTCTTCAAGATATAGCATAGAGCCTGGAGCTTGCATGTTTAGTGCTTAGAGAAGAATAGCCGAAATCAGTTATCAACTAATAAAAATGAGTCCAGGGAGCATTTATCAGGATGAACAATCCATTCATTGTGTTGAACCATATGCTGTGAAATTTATTTTTCTCCATTATTCAGCTAATATGTTATTATCTCCATGGTTTACATTGATGTAAAATGTGGGGCTTCTGTTAATGATGTACTGCTTTTACTCAACTTTTGTTAATGTTTCAGATGATATTGAATGTGCTACTTTTGGCTATTTTATGCAAGTCAACCTTGTGCCACTACATGATTTGTTCAATGTAGTTAATCTGACTTTTCTGTGTATTCTGATTTCAGACCGATGTGCTTTTGATATGTTCAAATGCCATGCAGTATAATTCTGCAGACACTGTCTACTATCGCCAGGTCCAAATATTTCCTTGGTTCTCTTTTATTTTATTTTGTTTCCATTTTTCATTTTTCAGTGCTTCTCATCTTCCGACCTTTTTTTTTCTCTGAATAATCGGCTATATCAGGCACGAACTATACAAGACCTTGCAAAGAGAGATTTCGATAATCTTAGACATGAAGGTGAGCCTAAGGTCATACGGAGAGGGAGGCCACCCAACAGCAAGAATCAGAAAAAGGCTGTTGAAACATCCCCTGCTGATCGTGTTGCCACTGAGCTTTCTTCGGGTGCAACTCTTGCTAAAGTAGAAGATAAAGCAAATGGGTCCAGTTCTTACAATCTAAGGAAGGGACCCGCATTATTTAGGCTTAGGTCTGCAGATCCATATGTGTCATCTTATGGTTCAAGAAATGGTGAAAACCACTCTGAATGGTCGATTGACTGGAATAATGAATTTCCAGGTATTTGCTCATTCATTGCTTTCGGTAGTTCCACAGTTATGTCGTTATCCTTCCGTAGAAATTTTAACCTTACTTTTTTTGGTGACTTGCAGCATCAATTTTGAGAGCTGACATGAAATATGGGAAAAAACATTTCACAGTGGATGAAAACAAGCGTGACACCTACAGACGATCTCTTTTGCTGTCTTCAGGCCACAATCCGCTTGTTTTGGCAAATTCTAGTGGAAATATGAAGCGATTAGTGCCGGTACGCATTTTCAAGAGTTTGTACATCTAACTTTTCTCTCATGGGCTGTGGAATTCCCCAAGGCATGTTTGTAGAATGAGGCTAAAATATAAATGTCTAAATTAAACTTCTTTTTCTTAACTGATATCAAGATAACTCCTTTGCACAATGGCATTAAAATGTTTACAAATGTTCTTCTTGGGATTCTGCGTGCTAAAGAAATGAACAAACAAACAAAGCAGTTACCTATAACTCTGAAAGATGACTGTATCCTTTAATCAACTATTCAAACTCCTTGGTCAACTCTTGCAATTTGCTGCATCTCTCTAATCATATCCTTTTTTGAGCTTATAGGTAGGTCTCCATGAAGCCCTTGCTTACTCAAGAAGCCTGGCTAGATACGCAGCAAATCTCGGTCCTGTTGCCTGGAAAATTGCATCGAGGAAGATAGAAGCCGTTCTACCTGCCGGAGTACAATACGGGCCCGGCTGGGTTGGTGAAAAAGAAGAAGTCCCGTCACGAACGTCGTCTTTTTCAGTGGACAACAATAATAAATCGTTCATTGCGAATTCCATATCAGGCAAACCCAACGGCCCCTCATGGGGACCTCAAATTCCACCTCAGCAAAATTTTAAGGTAAACGGTTTTAATGGAAATCCCATTCCGCAAGGTTCCGGAAAGGTGAAATCGGAGCTTGGGTGCGACTTGTCATCGAGTCACTCGATGTTGGTGAATAATGTCGTTAGGGAGCAAGCTAAGTTGGTGGGGGTTAGGAGTAATAGCTTGCCACCTGGATATCATATGGACGAACAAGGTAAACCGTCTTCTCATGAAATCGTGCAACAAAGACATGACAGTAACAATATAAATAACACTATTAACAGTAAAGTTTCGGGTGCGCCTCCTGATCTGAATGTGAGAGTCCCGGCAGGCTCGCCTAGTTCTGGTAGCTTACAAATTGGTTCACCTCAACAGCCGGATTTGGCATTACAGCTCTGAATACTACTTTTTTTCTTTTTTTTT